ATCTACATATATATATATATATACATATATATATATATATATATATATGTATATATATATATATATGTAGATAGATAGATAGAAGGAACGAGCGAGCGACGAGCAAGGTAGTGAAGCTGTGGAAAATAGGAGGAACGTAATGCATAAGCCGGAACATGAGCCAGTACACAAGGAAGCCTGATCGTTTTCGCACTGAGGAACGAATCTTTCGTTTGTTCTACTTTGTATGTATTGGTGTGTAAAAAAAGATAAAGCGATTAGAATGGGCATCCAAATGACCTCCAGGACGTAAACAGCGAGTAAGCAAGGAGGAGCACAGACCACAACGGGTAAAAAGAATGACAGAAACTGCACAAACTTGACCAACCGATTATTCGCAGGTGGAGGAAAGACCGGAGAAAGAAACGAAATTCACAAGGGCATACGGGAGAGAGAGAGTAGATAAGAGTACACCGGAATTCTAGTTTTGTTTATTTTGAATAGCACCATTGCCGTGCGAGACAAAGCGCACACGTGGGGCTGCATAGTCAGTCAGAAATGGGTAGGTAGGTTGATAGAAAAAATGCAACTATCACGTAAAACCGGATGGTTATGATAACTGGCTAGAACAGTCATCATGCACACACACAACAGCAAGCATATCGTCAGACAGGACGAACAGCACAATGGCATTGGGCACACACACTTAGACCAGCTGAAGGAACCGGGTGGTAAGAAAAGTGTTAACAATACGTTGGGACAAGTTGGAAAATGGGTCGAGAGGACGAGAAGGAAACTGGCGTTAAATAACGCCAATTGGTTAGGAAAAGATCGTGATGATTCATGAAAGTCTGAGTCCTATCGTGAATGGACAATTCATTACCAGAAGTAAATATAAGGTGAGTATAGAAACCGACGGGATGCACAATTCACGCTGGACCGACAACAAAGTGGAGCAGCTTGAAGGGAAGTTGAATGTGTGACAGAGAGCCTATAATACGGACAAGATAGAACTGGAACGGAGTGAGAATCGACCAATATCACGTAGAAACACTGAAGGGTGTGATTTTCTTAAAGCGACGCTTTCTTTGTTCGGTAATGATTGGAAAATCCTAGAGAATGATCCGACCGTCGATAAGTCCGATCAGTTCGTCGGACCGGCAGCAACGGCAACAGAAATAATGATGATAATAATAACAACAGCAACGAAGTGGTCAAACATAAAAAGCAAACAGAAGGAGCTTCTGAGAGCTCGTTCAGTTTTATAGCGTTCTCGGGAAAGGAGACGGATCAACTAAAATACCCCGACCTATGCAAACATGAACGGAACTGGAGGTTAGGAGTTATCCGATGAAACGGATGAACGTCTTGGGAGTAACGATAAATGGTTGTTTTGCGCATTTATGTGCGGGCGCATAAACACACTGAGAACATAAATCAGGGAGGACCAACCCGCGTATTTGTGGGCAACGGATTTGAACTGAAGTGGGAAAGGGTGTGCAAAATGACGAGCACGATCGATCCTAGAAATCCGGGGAAGGAAATGGCGCGACAACGTTGAAAGTCAATTTGAAAAACCACGACTTCCGAGAAGTAATGCAGAAAGATTGAACGCAAAATCAACTGACCGGGGCCGGATGAGTAAAGAGAACAAAAAACAAGTGCTAGAAATTGTAGGTGATGGAAAAATTAGGCGAGGATAGATGCAGCCTATTCAAATTCCTAGGATGGTCTCATAGCTGCGGATGAGGAAATGGATCAAAAAGCCACATGGTCAAATGGAGATCGTGGTTTTCTTCGCGTGCTGCCCCGGTGCAACAACGAATGTGACGGGAAAAGCCTTTAGTTGATGTGTGCGATCGCGGTGGGTTGCAGCAGCGAGAGATGAGTGGCATCCGAAGCCAGGGATAGGTTTGGCTCGATTATGGACTTCGTATAACTGCGTTGGCCATTTTGGACATTGGTGTTACTGTTAGGTAGTGCCATAGGTGGGGCAGAAAGAAGTAAAGACAATTTCCTTTCCAACGGTGTGGTGCTGTTAGTATTGTTTTTTTCGTTATCGGCAGGACAGAATGAAAGTACAAGACGTTGAGGAGTCGTTGTTGCGAATCCGTCCTCGCGGTCATTTTGATAATGTACACCAGATCGCGTCGACTGAAGTGAATCCGGAGACCGTTCTGCGCTTAGTCTATCCGCCTCAGAGGATACGTAAGTTCTAACTTGAACGGGGACAGGGACGAGACTTGTCGGAGGTGCACCAGTGGCCATGGCAGCAGCAGCGGCCAGAGCCGCGGCGCTAGCCGAAGAACTGGCAGACACGAGGAGCAGGGGGAACTTCTTGGATGATTTTCCCGTAAGGCCTGCTTGTAAAGCGTGTGACAATGCCGGGTCAAGTGTGGTTGATGTGCGCTTGTCCTGTTCAGAAGGGGAGAGCATCATGAGAATTTGAGCACCGGGATCTGTGGATGAAGATGTGGTCGGAGTGGTAGGAGGGGGCTGGCAGGACCAAGTAACGTCACCATTCTGTGTGGAAGAGATCGGGTAGAAAATATTTTCATTAGGATGAAGTGGGTATTTCTCGTAGACAGTGTAATCAAATTGTACTTTGAACCAAGGTGTAACATTGATGGTGATGGTATCGTCTAGAAAACGAACTTTGTCTGGCCTTCTTAATGGCAAATGTTTCCCGGGGTAGATTGTTTGATTGTGAGAAATCTACTTCAGAACAAGTGTGCTATCTACGACAAAGCGCATCGGTTTAACCATCTGGTGAACCGCGTTTCGAGGAAGAGAATGGTTAGAGAAGGGCTCAGAGGTCAGCATAAAACTACAAATTTCATCTGATCTCCCGAGGACGAGTTGGATAGTTGATATGAAAATGAAGAACATCAGCTCCGACGGCTATGATACTATGGGTTGATTACAAAACAGTAGTTACAATGCGTGCGAACTCGTAGAGATGGCAATTAGTAACCACAATAATGGAAGATTCTACGAGTTGTTATCGGACAAAAAAAGATAAATGCGATACTACCTGAGAAATGATATGACCTAAAGCTTCGATGAATATCATTCCAAATATTGTTTTTCTTTAAACACCAGCAATCAAAAGTTGATTCTGGTTATATCTCAGGATTATTCATATTTAAGGCAATTTTTCACCCGGCCCAACAAAATAACGTTCCGTGTGGGAATCCTGCTCTATTGAGAATATGATTCAGAATCATGGGTGATCATTTTGCTTCCCATATATAATTTCTGGCCTAGTGCGACGCTTCGAAATAATCTTTTAATTACGTTTTTCACATTCGTTGGGCCGTAACATGCGATTTTTTCAATCATCTTCGTCATGAGGAGACGTAGGTAAGTGTGGTACCCTGAGAGAAGTAAAACTACTATCCTTGTCTGAACTACTTACCCGAATACAGTAATGACATCCCGAATGATCATTGTGGCATACCTAGTGAATACGAAATTTTTGTATTGTGGAGTGCATTTCTATTGCGCAGCTGAAGGCAGCAGTATTTATTCACACTCCGGCTGACACAAACCTCAGTTGCTCGACTCCGCGTTCTGTCGTCCTCGATTACACTAGCCTCTCCCGATGAGAAATGTTTTCATGACGTATTATCTGCAGACGGTTCAGATCACCGTAGCCCCATAATGCTTCAACTTTAAGGTGGAACTATCGTCTCACATCTTTAAAATCCTAATATTTTTTAGTTTCAGTTAGTATAACCATGAACTATCTTGTGCCGGTTTTGGTTACTGTGTTTTGGCTGCCCATTTAGATGAACATTGAGAGTGTGAAATATAACAATAATGATAACCCATACTCGAAACTGATTGCATTTGTGTTGTTGCTGTTGTCATTTTTGTTCTGCTTCTATAATCTTCTTTCAACCAATGGTCACTTTACTGCCATGTATAAATATATATATATATATATATATATATATATTCATTGAACATTCCCATAATAACACTAAAAGACAAGCAGTATACCGAACAACATTGTTATACATAATGTAGAAATAAATGTGATTGGTCCATCGAGGTTAAGTGTGGAAGTTAAAAGTGGCGGGACAAGTCGACACGACACAGGTCCCAGTTTCAAAACCTTTCAAGCCAATCAAACCTAAATCTATCAGCTTACAAGTAATGGAGGGGAGGGGGGTAAAGTCTACAACTCGTTTAGGAAATTCACACAATCCACATTTAATAAATATCATGCAAGAAAAACCGCCGTACAATTGATATGGTCCTTAGTTCATTTAGTTTGTAAGTCTCCTGGACACCTATCCAAATGTGTGCATTGCACTTTACTTCAGCTTTCGATCCTGTGCTCCGTCTTTTTTCAACTAAAAAATAGAAACTTTTTTCACTATTCTCTGCCCCTTCTTCAATGGATGAGGAGCTATTTCTCTCAACTATATTAGTCCCCAGCTCATCTTCTTCTATTATACAAAGCTCAAATCCGCCATGCTTTGAATACTGTAGTCACATGTCCGGTGGGGCTTCGTCCTCTTCCCTTTCCCTTCTTGATCGTATTCAACGAAAGGCCATCCGGCCAATGGATGATCCTTACCTAACATCCGGTCTGCAGTCGTTAGCCCATCGTCGGGCAGTTGCTTGTCCCTGTTCTACCGCTACTACTTTGGTTTTTCTTCTTCGGAACTTGCCTCGGCAGTTCCTCTTCCTGCAACTTTTACTCGTCCATCCCGTACACAGGCATCTAGTCATCCTTATCAGGTCTCTGTTCCTAGATGTCGTACCTCTCTGCTCCAATCTTCTTTTTTCCTCAAACTGCCAAACTGCGGAACACCCTCCCACTTGCTGTTTTCCCCCAACTTACAATCTGACACTTTTTAAACGCAGAACCAATAAACTGGATCTTACGTGAGTGTTCCCCTACTCTATTTTTTACAGTATGCTGTTTGTCCATGGGGATTTCCCCTTTTACTGTAATTCACATTGTGCAATAAAAAAGTCAACGACACCACTCTCGGTTCAGGTGTAATATATGGTGCTGTTCCACCGTTTTATATAAGCAGTTTACCAGTTACTTTTGCTGTCTGCATTTCAAGTATGCTGGTGATATTGCTATTCTTTTTTTGTCACTCCAGGTTTGAAATCTGGAACAACAACAAAAACATATTCCGTCTTGCTAGAAACTCCATTTCATTCGATTTTAACCCTAACCTCGATATCTTGAGTGCATCTTCACCCCAAACCATTTCCCGCATCCACCTGAAAATGTACAGCATGAAGGCAAACGAACAGTCAGTTACGGACAGTATCATAAGTTACCTTCAAAAGTAATCTTTGGTCACTGCATATGCAGACTGTTGCTCGTAAACTGAGAGGACTTTATAACTAAGATTGCATCGCTTCAACACTAAGCAGTCCGTTTCCACCGCCTCACATCCCCCCCGCCGAATAACCTTTCACTGATGTACTGGTCTGCTGAAGGCTGACTTTAAGTTGCGGAGACCCCACAGTGATAACCCGTGTACCTCAAATTTCGTTGTCCATTCTGGTGAACAATGTTTGTGAAGATACTGATGCCTGTTTGAAGTATGCGTACAAAATTTCGACTGACAGCAACCATCTGTTACACACTAGCTGTAGTTAAACCTGATTCCTCCACTAGTTCAAACCACCGAATTAGCTAATCTAGCATATCCGTATACAGCTACTTCTTGATACCCTATTTGGCTGTGAACTGTACAATTCATTTTGTATTGGATTCGTGTTTAGTACACAACATATCTTTTGTATCATGGTTCTTTGATATTCCTTCTGGTTAAAACCTGGCACGTAAAAAAATGTATTTTTACTTCCTTATTCGGTTTATTGAATAGACAAATGTACAGTCAACCTTCAGGAAGGGGGTTGCGGCCATATAAAGGCTGCGTAGGGAAAATACAGATATAAGGAAGACGGGCGGCGGTGGAGCGGTTTGAACCCAGGTCACTAGTTGGTGACTTAACCACTTGGCCACCACCGCCCAAGTAATCCATACGAATTGTGATTGCTGTTCTCTTAGATCGATATATTCGTCAGTAAATCGACTGGATTTGACAAAATAATAAACTAGGCGTCCGATGAAATCATCTACGTCAAGCACAAAAGATCAAATAATTTTCCCCAAAATGAGAATAAAGAACTTACAGCTATCGGGTTACATGGTTCTGACTGTGACCGATGGAATGCAGAAGTGTTCGTGATGAACTCCATTCGTTGTTGAGTACTTTGACTGTTGTGAAACAACGTCCCAGCGCAATCCGCCACGCCAAACGTAGAGGGGTTGGAGGATGTCGTACAGGACTCCGTGACAAGACATCGGGAACTCGGTTCGGTTGTACTGAACCACTTCTTCATTTTGAATGATTGTCGTGGAGCGGTTTTTTCCAAAGGGCTTGAAAGACATTCGTTCAACTGCAGAGATCTATTGGGTAACTCCGTTGGACGGTTACCATTCATCTCAGAATCCAACTCATTGGCCAAACGGGGTCGAATCAGGCAGTTTAATCGCGCTGACCCAGACCGCTGGTTTGCATATGAAATAGCCACCGAGCGAGGAGTCACGTTGGCAACCCCGTTAGACCCACGTGGGACCGCATCTAGATCGAACGATTCACTGTCTGCTAGCGTCTCGATCGATTTTCCGGAATTCCATCGAACTCCATCATCTCGACTAAATGAGACCAGTCCGGACAGTTTACTGTTGACATCAGCAAACAGACTGTTTGTGATTTGTTGTGGCTGTGACGTGGACGACACAGTGTCAGTCGGGTTTGCGGTCAGACCGGAAGCGGTGAGGGTTCGCATAAGCGAAGACAACTGAGAGTAATCCAGGTTTTTCATGCTATCGAACGGGCTAGACGCAGTCGTGGTTGGAAGATTTTGTAAGCAATCCGAAGATGGGTTGGATAGGGTTGCTGTAAAGAATACAAGCAAAAAGGTATGAAAAAAATGCGGTAAAATTTGAGGGACGGTTGGAAAACTCAAGGCAGCTCAAATGTGTCGACACCAACGTTGCTTTCTGATCAGGTGTTGTTGAGTAATTTCTAATGTTTAACAACAGTATGAGCACTCCAATGTGGCTGTTCCTTCTTAAGACACACCTCAGTGTATAAACCAGTAGTGAATTTCAAAGCGGTAATCACAATAAGATTAGGACTTAAGATCTGAGACTTAGAATGGCGAACGACACCATGTTTCAGTAAGACAGGGTTTCTATTGGTTTGGTTAGGTCCCCATTGGTTGTTGACAAATATTGTACATCGTTTTTGAGAAAAGTGTGGTGAATATTACATGACAAAATATTCATTGTAACGTTATATCTGTAAATATTGGATGGGTTAATTGTACGTGATCGTATGTCTGATCAGTTGATACTCGGAATTTAATTGATCGACAAATACTCTTTATCGATTATCGCATGGTTTAATGACTGATACTGAAGGGTGCACAAAGACTACTAAATGCAACGGTTGCCAAAACGGCCAATGCCGGTGATCTTTTAGGTACAGAGAACACAAAAAATTCGTTCCATTCGATGTAATAAAAGAGGTTGTGGTTTCGTACGTAACAATTTAGACGAAGCAAAGCATAAATTAAAAAAATGTGAAAAATTATATCGTTTCCGTAGACTATCCGGCGGCAGAATTTATTTCTTCTGTGGAGATCATCATTTACCTGAGGCTGATTCAGGATAGTTTTATTTTCTCGTTTTTGAGACGTCTAGGGATTTAGCTTTATGAAGCCTGTGCAGTTTTTCGTTGATTTGTGGTATCACGCAGACACTTTTCATGAGTTAATCATATATATATATATATATATACTTTTGTCTGCACTCAGTATGATTTTCCTGGTAGAATTGTCGTTTTGCAACGAACTCCGTTTGATTGTCAAACGTTCTCAATTTGGCCATATTCCTTATCCAGGGTATTCTTTATTCGAATTAGCCGCTCTCTGCAAAAGGGTGTCATCTGAAAAATATAGTGAATAAACAGGAAACTAACAGAAAGTAGGTGACTGTTGACAACCGATCTCTCCCTATTCTGAACATATTTACGATGACTTCGGAACGCTCCGCAAAAGGGCAAACACTTCTGCGTAGCTAGCGAATTTAACCAGTCCCGAATATGTTCGCCCTACGGGCACTGTGAAGCCATTGATCAGGACAGAGACCGCGGCTGATCGAAGATTGACAGCAAGACGGTACTGAAGTGAAAGACCGCGCAGTGCCGGTAGATTTATCCAAATGAACGAAAGATGGAACAATAAATTGGCGATTCATAATCCTCGACTGCCGTCGCCTTTGTTATGGTTTCAGTTGCAATTCACTTAGCTTCTCTTTATTTTTCATAGCGGTTCTAATGGATCGCGTTCTTTTAAAAGTTTAGCCTTCATACCGAACTAAAAATGTAATATTATTGCCCATTAAAATCTACCGCTTAACCTGTTAAAATGGCAATTGTTCTGGATGTGAACTTTTTTGTCAGCGTTCTTATAACCAAGCGATCAAGATGGGAGCGATTGGCAATTGGTAAGATTAATTGACTAAAGGGAGCTTGTAAGCATCGAACCAAGCGGTGAGATTTCTCATTAAAATTGAAAGGGTAGACGAGACCATGATTAGGCCGATCAGGAGGAACTACTCGAACAGTTACTCAACAGGAGATTTTTTAAAGATGGTTAATCAAATCCCTGAGGAACAAATGATAAAACAGCATTGCCTGATGATCCACTATCGTTCAAATCAATTTAGATCGAAAGCCCGATGACCAGGTAGGTAACTAGTGGCCAAACAACACATCCTCGATACTCGTCAGACGATTGACGAGTAAGGTTTATGCCTATTGAGGTACAAATTTCCTTTATTGTCGATCTTTAAGTGGATGGCAAATGTAAACAGTGAAAAAGTATGTGTCGATTATCGAACCGCAATCTCGCTAGCATTCAACTTCCATTGTCTGACGACGAATCGCCTTCCGCTCGATCGAACTGTATTTAACCTGAGAGTAACGTGACCACACAACCGTTCACAAATCGATATAGTAAATCGAGAGATGACAGTTGATACAAAATAGAGCGGAAAGGTTTAATCGGACCACGTGCACGAGATAGAACGAATCATCATAGCGCGTGAACGGTGGCGATCCACTGTGTGGAAAAGGCCATGACGATCGTACAAAGCGGGGGAAAGGTATGCACGCGTCTGAATGCGACGAGACAACACTTACGGTCTGCCCGCATTTTAGACATACAATAGAAGAATTAGATTGTGCACGCATGCGCAGGCACACATGTACGGAAGCATGCGCATGATGTGTTCGATACCACCTTGCCTATGAAAGCTGATCTAGACGCAATATTCCACAAATAGGCGAGAGATCGGACCAGTCACAACAACACAAGCGCTACATTTTCGTGCACAGTGCCGATCAACTGTGTGAATTCGTCTGGCCTCCAGTCTAAACCTGCATAAGGCAATGGCGAATGTCACTGATCCACTAGAGACACGGGAGTCATGCACGACCACCCCACCAAAAGGGATCGATAAGCAGGAGTAAAATGCTATTTCGTGCAGAGAATCGTAACGAGATACGGCAATACTCGACAAATGATTAAAAGGAAATTTGTGACGTCCGGAAGCTCAGGCATTTGTTGCAGAGTCGCTGGAATTACTCTAATCGTACAGCGAATACTGTAGAAAAAAACGGTTACCATCACAGATAATCATTCCAAATAAGCAGCTAAGATTGTAAAAAGAACCGACCATTAATTTGAACAGGCAAGTCAGAAGACAAACACTGCGAGAGGAATTCCTTTCGTATACTCTCATCGGTCGCGTACGTATAACATCGAACAGATACTCTCATCGGTCGCGTACGTATAACATCGAACAAGATAGACAAATGAAGCGAATTAACAAATCTAGTTAGTATTACCCGTGTGCGTATGTGTTTGTTAATTCGCTTCATTTGTCTATCTTGTTCGATGTTATACGTACGCGACCGATGAGAGTATACGAAAGGAATTCCTCTCGCAGTGTTTGTCTTCTGACTTGCCTGTTCAAGTTCATTACGGGATCGAAATGTTTCAGTTTCCTGAAAAGACGACCACTAATTGTCAGGTTGTTCACAGCCATTCGGAATCGCGAATAAACGATCCAAACGAGAGCCACGATTCTATGTTATGCACCCCTATACGGCCGCCTGATTTTTTCAAGCCCAGATTTACATTTCTGTGCTCTAAGGTGTAATTTTGAAGAACAGATATGATGATTCGCTTGGCTTTCTCACTATCCGAATTATAATAAACGTATGGTGCGCCAGGGCAAACACTAGCTTGGCTCTCTGGTCTTGGCAGATATTGCTGCACTGTCTAGGCAAGCATCTACTCTAGGTTAGCTTACATAATGTGCTCCTCGTGGATCTAGTCACGTCATATGCTTCACCGTAAAACAGATTTCTGTCACGAGACATTGCCGTTGCTAGCCGGTCGATTTTCTGAAGGATAAGATAAAACGTTTTAAATGTCCTGTTCAGTGGTTGTATGCTCTTAATCACTATATGGACCTGATTTGATGCAGCTCGATATGAAATAATCAGGCAAAAAATCCGACTGAAAACGAAACGACCTGAAGTCAAATTGAATCCGAAGATTAACAAACCTCGTTAGGGAATATCGGTGCGTATCATCGTGTGCCGTGAACGGTTGCAGAGCATAACCCCAAATTCACAAGGATCCACTGTTTGTTTATAATGCGATTATGTACTGCCGTTATTAGAGAGGGAGATTATGAATATACTACCCGTAGTGATGACCCACGGAAAACAACAGCTGCGTAGCAAATTCAGGATTGTTACAATGCATCCCGTTCACACTAGCTAATAATTGGTTAAGGCTTTTAATATTTTCCAACTGGTTACTGAGGATGGCCTGAGATATCCAAAAAGGTATGCCGTCGTGCTAGTAATTTTGTTTCAGTAGCATTCAGCAGCTTAATCACGGTATTGTTCCCCCGCTTTTTGGCTCTTCAATTTAACCGTTTTTTCTCTAGTTAACCAAATGGTCAACTAGAGCGTCAACCAAAGCGGACGCACAAAAGCGCCAAATCAAACTGAAAGTGAACTTCTTCCGATTAGATTAAACTACGTTGTCTGTCTCCATTTATCCAAGTGATTCTTCTACGGGTCACAACCGCCTGATCAAAACCGCTAAACTAAAGACGGAAGACAAGAACGATGACAAATCGACCTACACAAGTGTCCTGTGAATGAAAATGATGTAGTTCGATCCGGCATATAATCAATATGCGAAAGGGATGAATCCGGGTGAAAATCCGGTTTAAAACATTTTATTAGCGGTCCCACAAATGAACTATCCAACTCTGCGTTCTTTTAGAATGAAAGTGTTGCGTAACTAAAACTTTGTCTTTATATATAAATATTACTGATTGGTTGGAACTGACCATCCTTCAGATTTCATCTTCACGCACATTCCTCAGTCCCCCCCCATCAACCATACATTCCGAAGCAATAGACTCGAGTTTTGCTCTTATTAAAGCTCATTAGTCATGCGTATCCACCGTCCCATCCGGGATCTGAACTCCAGACCCATCGCGTGGAAGGCCTGTGTGTTAACATCGTGTCAACCAGCTCATGCCAGGGCTGAACCGAATGGCCTATTAATGTTTTTTTAGGTATCGTCTTCAGAGATAGTCATTCAGTTCTAATCAATCAATATCAATAACCCCAAAACACTGCTCACAAGTTAAATATAAATATTACCCGTAGATAGGATAGGCCGATTCTCACACCGATAGAATGAAATGATCGGGAAGAGTTCGAAACGATGTTGATATCTGACATCTGATTAAAGTGGTGAGGTAAGTGATTTCATGATTGAACTGATTCTGAATTCTTAATGTGAAGTCAACCTGTTATGATGAAGCGCAAGGACTGATCACCAATTTCGCGATTGAATAAAATAAAAAGTTCCGGGAAAATAGTACAAAATGAGCGCTGTCTAAAAAAACAATGTCTACCGAACAGCGAAAAGGAACGAAGGTGTAAAATAGATACATCAGTCGTGCAGAAAATAAGTGTAAGATCAAGCGTCACACAAACACTACTGCATTTGCACTGAAGAGCAAACAGCAAGAGAGAACTAAAATGGGCCCATGACACGTGATAACCGCTAGGAAGAACGTAAACAGAGACAGCAAGAACACAGAACTGACATCAGACATCACGTGAACGTAATGCATTTGGCGTGAGGCCAACCAAAACCCGCCGGTGGATTATTACCATGGGGTGACAATCAATCGGTTAGGATTTTCGCAGCACGGGACCTCATCAAGGTGTGACACCACATCGCGGATGCATGTTGGGAAACGATAAAATTGATCGCTGCTATGTTCACTGCGAACTAAGAAATACCACTCAAGACGGATAGGATGTGAACCTACTGGATGACATAAGAGAAAACTACCCAAACTATCGGTTATTGATACCCATATCGCCTCTACGGAGGATGATTGTGAGGCAAGTTGTGTGCCTTCCTGTGGTGATCCAGACTTCCGTGACCGCAATCCATGCACGACTAGGTACAGTTTCATGTCATCCAATCACCGTTCAGGAAGCGCGACCAATGGTACACTTGGAGAACGTGACATCCGAGTTAGTACATATGATGCGTCAGCGCAAACGGTTACTTAATTAGACGACGACCCTTTAACCAATCATATGAGATATTTCCCTCTATAAAACATGCTCTAATTCTATCAATAAACATAAGCATTTGCTGCTATCAATTCCTCGTGTTTTTCATTGGTGTCCGCAGTTTGGGTTGGAGCCAATTCAGTTCTGAGCAGGACAGTACGGATTCTCGTATACCTAAATTCAATACTATTCCGATTACTACACTTCCCCAAACCGTTCTCCAATCAGCAAACACGGTGCAAATGATTGAATAAGAGAACGTTTCCTATGCAATTACAGTAACCAATTAGGTAGATCAAAAATTTACCTATTAGAGTGCTGTACGTGGCTAGTAAACGATGCACTGAAAAAGAGCTTGTTTGCCAAATAGACTTCTTGATACAGTCTGCGGGTATTTTCCAGTAACTGATCAGATCCCCTAGGCCACGGACACAAATTGATCACACTGCGATCAGCTATTACTGACGAGGGTCCACTCAAGACTGACGCTCCCACTGGTTAACACTAGCGAATAGAGATTATGCTCTATTACGGACCATAAGCTGCCTGAAAAACGACCTCAGCTAAGCCTCCGGGGACGAGTGCCCACAGTACGATGAAAGCAACCACTAAAGAATAAACTTTGAATCGGAGCTCTCTCATTGCCTATCAGATCAATCACCCGATGAAATACAGAGAACACTGAAAGCTAACCAGAGAAGGCGCTTAGATGTCGAGCAGAACAACGAAGGATTTTAACAAACGACCAAAGTACAAATGTCGTACGGCTTTGAAGGACACGCAAAACCCTACCTCCTAATACCAAATATGACTCCATACACAAATAAAGCAGACAACAGCAGCCTGAGGGATAAACGCCAGAAGTGGTGGGTAGCAAAGTGTAGCGAGATGGAGGTGAATGGAGTGAGGGAGCAAGGAAATTAGACGTGAGGTAAATAATGAGTCTCATGACACCGTGTTTCATATTCCGCAGTGCCATGTAGAGCGATAGACAAAACATTTCAAGACAGAGAGTTTAACTGGCCTCCATCGATATTAGATTTTAATAATTAGGCTTCAAAGAAACAACTCCTAGCTGGTAACTTTCGCCCTTTTGAAAGGGGGGATACCCGGGAATGAGCTTATCTAAAGAGGTATAAGGTCTCTCCCCCGGATCGTTTATCCCCATTGACTTTGAGGGATAGGTGTTAAGCTTCAGTTCGGCGGCTGACGAGACTCCTGGGTTCAGTATGAGTACAGATTCCAGCTAAATGGTGGGAATCAATCATCTAAGAGATATCCAAGGAAAGGAATATATCCTCCTGTGATGACCACAGGGGAATTAGCTTGATTAACATCACCTTCACGCTTGTCACCGCTATTTGGCTCACGCAAACAGTATTGTATCCAGAAATTGTGTAAGACAAGATGGAACTGCAGTTAGCCCTAAACGGTGCGAACTGCAACCTATTTTATTCCAGTGAGCTGAAAAGTCATCGAGTGCAATACCTGAATTTGACGTATCACCTCACCATCAATTAAGCGTGTGCTATGGATCCCAGCCAGATAACCTGATGCCACTTATTTCATTAGATCCAACAGTCAGTGCTTCATACGTTCGCGACAGCTATATTCTAGGATCAAGTGTAGAAAATTTAGAGGTCAGACAGTTGTTTTAGTACGCCTACTCCTATCAGTTCCGTTTTGATCCCTTTTTATAACCATTAGCCATGCATTTTCATGTGCCGGTTTTGATTGTTGTCTTTTGGCTGCCAATTTGGATATTCTCGAAACCCCTACTACTATCAATGATGATCGCAATGAGGTAAAATTGCATTGACTTGCGACAGCTACAGTGCACGTTCTATTAGTAATGGCCACATCTCGAGAACTTAGACCAAGGTTGGTCGGATCGCCAAACTAAACTCACAAAATTTAACGGATAGGTGGGTTGCGCATCGACACTACCGAGGATCCAGAGGCATTTTCAGGTACCTAATGGTATGCCGTCTCGATATAACGAAAGCCGTAGATTTTTGTATTCAAGGTGCGTGATTTGTAAAACAGAATATAGGTTGCGATGCAGTGAACGAGTGTTTGATCGCTGAACAGCATTG